TCCCAAAGTGGTCCAGGTGGATCGCAGGGTTACTAAACTTTTGACTTGACTTCTCTTATCAATATAGGCAGATACTATTTTAAGAAGCTCAGCGACTGTTACTTGTAAAAACTTGCATATTCCATATTCAGTACAACGCGTCGAGACTTGTCGTTGCCGCGCCGGCCGCCATCCCATCCGCAACGCTTGTTCAGACGTGCAAATTAATACGACTTGTGGTGTATGTGCTTGCAATCTTGCATGATCGTGTTTAATTCTTCACCAATATAAATACGAATGTCAAAGATAATCGTTATTCATTTGTTTTTGGAATTTCATAAAGAAAAGTGAATCGATATTAGTGTTGGTCAGTGACTGAATTTGCTTCTAGACTTTCTAAAAGAAAAGTAAAGTGAATCGATACTGGTGATTGCCAGTGTCGGAAAAGTAAGTACCTACCTGCCTATTTGTTATATGCATATAGTTTTAAGCCGAGAAAGATTGAACTTATCGTCCCTACTCTATTTTTATTACCTATCTAATTCATTTAATTATTGCGGAGTTTTGATATCAAAATATTGTTTAAAAGTTTCTATTGAATTTACAGAAATATATTAAAATATAATAAATGAAATAATAATTTTATATCACATTAAAATAAGTTCAGCAGTTTTCATAAAACTCTATTATGGATCTTAGCGATTTATATTGCTTTTAATAATTAGAAACAGATTGCAGCTGGAACTTTATTTCATAATATTTATAATAATTGATTAATCATATTATGTTAAAATAGCCATATCCTGTTAAGTTCGAATCGCCTTAAGATTACTAAAACAAAGTTTTTATTTACTTACACATTTACAGGTAGGTAATTGATACAAAACATGGCTGAATCTAAGAAGTGTCGTCAGTACAGTGTTGAATATTTAAAATTTGGTTTTCTTCCATCAAAGGCAGACGAACGATTGTCCACATGCCTTTTATGCTACAAAGTTTTGAGTAATGACTCTATAAAACCATCAAAGCTGGAAGATCATCTAAGAAGGTGTCATTCTGATAAAATAGGTAGAGATTTGAAATATTTCCAAACATTAAAGGAAAAATATGAAAAGAGACCCACCGTATGCAGTATGTTCTCTTCAACGTCTGAAAGCAACGATAATGGCTTGCGGGCATCTTACAATATCTTATTACTTATTACAAAATTTGGAAAACCGCACACCATTGGAGAACAGTTAATGTTACCTGCTGTTGAAGAGGTTTTAAAAACTGTTCTGCACAAATTTTCATTTAACATACTCAAAAGAATTCCTTTGAGTAACAACACTGTACAAAGACGTATTGATGAAATGAGCTCTGATGTTGCAAGTTTCTTGTGTGATTATCTACGAACAAACTAATTTTTCTATTCAACTGGACGAGTCAACTTTACCTGGCAATGAAGCATTATTATTGGCATATGTTTGATTTGTTATGGGCGATGAAATTCATGGAGAGCTACTATTCGCGAAAACTTTGAAGACGGACACTAAAGGTAAATCAATATTTAATGTTTTAAGTGATTTTTTAAAGAAAAATCGATTCCATTCACAAACGTTATTTCGGTGGCAACAGATGGAGCTCCTGCCATGGTCGGGCGATAAGCCATCTTAGAATTATACCAGAGGTAATTGCGCTTCACTGTGTTATCCACCGACAACATCTACGAGTCCCGTCCAGCTTCAGTTGGCCCACACATAAAATTAGTAATATTTTTGGATTTTGGATACATGGTTAAAAAAGTAGTATCCTTGCGTTCATTCTATTAATAGAGTTGATAAATTTGTTAACTCTATGATTCTATTACCCAAGTATTGCTAACGACGAGGGTTAAGGTGGCTATGAAAACAACACTTTTTGACGGAAATGACAGTGACATAAGTTCCGATTGTAAAACAATTACTTAATAGTCCTATTTGTTGTCAATTATGGGGAGAGGAAAGGCAATTGATGAAAATATTCGATCAATTATCATTAATTTACACAAATCTGAAAAATCAAATGGCGAAATTGAATATTACTCGGCTTATCTAGATACAGTGTTCGAAATATTGTTCAATTGTTCAGGTGCCCAAAAGGCCCGATATGTGAAAAAGTCCAAATTAACAGACAATGATAGACGAGCTTTAGCCAGAATTATTAAGTCTAATTAGGGGTGCTAACTACGGAGAGTTGAGTGTACTCTGGAGTGAGGCCGTTGGAAGACGTGTTTGTAGGTCTACATGTCATGCAGAAGCCAGAAAACTAGGATTTGATACATACAAGGTAAGTTTTCTGAGTTCAATCTAAAGGTTCAAAAGATAATAATCTTTTTCGTTTGCAAAGGCTAAAGAAAACCGTTACTGACTCCAAAACAGAAGCGAGACAGGTTGAAATGGGCTAAAGATCATCGAAATTGGGATATGGAGAGGTGGAATATTATACATTGGAGTGACGAGTCGCGATTTGAAGTGTGTTTCGGTGATAGCCGGAGCAGAGTTATCCGCCAGAAACATGAAACTTATCATCCTGATTGTCTTAAGCGCAAAGTTAAATTTCCATCTTCGGTAATGGTCTGGGGTTCAATGTCGTCTAGAGGGGTTGGAAAATTAAACTTTATCAACGGAATTGTAAACACAGAAAAATATTTAGACATTCTAGAGGACTCTTTGTTGCCTACTTTGGAAGAGAGTAGGATTTCTGGAAATGACTTCACCTTTCAGCAAGACGGTGCTGCCTGTCACACGTCCAAAAAATCCATGAAATGGCTTTTAGATCATGAAATACCACTCCTAAAATGGGTTTCCTCTAGTCCGGACCTTTCGCCTATCGAGACTTTGTGGCATGAAATGAAAAAGCGGTCAAGAGCCAATCCTGCCAGAACTGTTCCAGAACTCAAGCACAGGCTCCAGAATATTTGGGATAATTTCACTCCAGCGCAGTGTCAGGATTTAGTAAAATACTATGCCGAGAAGAATTGAAGCAGCTATTAAAAATAAAGGGGACGTTACTCAGTGGTAGAATAAGATATCTTAGAGTTTAAAAAATCATAAATTTCCTTATTTCTAGTTTTTTAAGTCCTAATCATTTCCAGTTGTTGTAACTATTTTATTTTTTATGCAAAATGTTTTTAAAATGTTACTTTAAAAACAAAAGTGGACAATTTTTACCTCTATAACTCAAATGACCTTCGATACACGGCAATAACTGATATTTAATCAGGTGGGCCAACTGAAGCTGGACGGGGCTCGTAGTACCGAAAAATTTGAGTGATAGATTGCACCAATCGCTTCAATTTGTGATTAATGCAGTTAACAAAATAAGAAGCAATGCATTGAATACGAGTCTATTTGCACAATTGTATGATGAAAATGATGAAGACTTCCAACGATTGCTGTTACATACCGAAGTACGCTGGTTGTCGAAAGATGCAAGTTTATCAAGATTTTATTTACTTTTTGACTTAGTTTTAGAGTTTTTGGAAAGTAAAGATCCTGATTTAAAGAAAAAACTTGATCAATTTTAAGGCAGACATCGCGTATTTGACAGATTTGTTTAAAAAATTTAATGACCTCAACTTACAATTACTACGAGACAGCCTAAATTTAATAAAAACAAAGAGTGTAATTTCAGATTTTCTTGGTAAATTGAAATTTATAAAAGAAAATATTGGTCGGCGCGAATTTTCACAGTTTTTAAACTTGTCGCAGATAGAATGCCTTGATGAAGATATTCAGATATACGTTCAACATTTGATTACCCTGCATGATAATTTTAAATTCAGATTTGAAGATATTCTGTCGATGGGAATACCACCATGGATCATAAATTCATTTGATGAAATGGAAGTGGAGAATGTGATATTACAAGAGGAGCTACTCGAGCTTAACACTAATGAGGAGCTGAAAGTGACATTTAAAAGAGGGTATCAAAAATGTTGGCTTCAGGTAGAAATACCCGAAAAATATCCTGGACTGTGGGGAATTGTGCAAAAGCTTCTGATAGCATTTCCCTCATCATATCTCGTCGAAAAAAGTTTTAGTGCCGTTACAAACTTATTAACAAAAAAAAGGAGCAGACTGAATATCACAGAAAGGAGAGATTTACGGTTTTTCCTTACAAAACTCAAGCCAAATATTGACAATTTGCTGTCAATCCATCAAGTACATTCCTCTCATTAAAATTATATATATTTTTTGTAATTACCATTGTAGAAATTACATTACGTTATAAGTGTTTAATTTGAATTATATTACGACGGTTATAACAATAATAATTAATAGTGTAATAATTTATATATTTAAATTTAAATAAATACCTACAACACAAGGAAATATATTATATTTTTTTACCACTCCGAATGGGACGTTTTCTAAATAAAATTTGAGAGAATTGATTGGTTCTTGTGCTGTGAGTCACTGTAGATTTCAAAAAAGTAAAGTTGGATGGAGTTACTTTTTCGTTTGGCCAACTTTGCTTTTTTGACATCCACTCACAGCACAATCAATTAAAATTTATTTGTAAATTTATTAAGTCGACTTCATTATCAAATAATAAACCCTATCAAGCAATCAATTCTAACCTTTTTTTTCGAAAACTCGGCCACAACGCAAGTTTCCATAGATAGATCTAATCTTTACCTTTTTTTTTTTCGAGATTTAGAAATTGGTAGTGATGTAGCTATCAGATCCAGCAAAATTTTGAAAGTGGTCTATGAAACAAAAGAGTTTGGGAACCTCTGTGATAGATTTTATAAATTTAAAAACCGGAAGTTGGTAGTGTCTGGGTAGCGAAATTTTTTTGAGGCGCCACCCCCTAATGTTGCCACATATTCATGTTTAATTTATATAAAACATAATTTTAAAAGGTTAAAGATATATTTTTTTGAAGCGAAGCTATTTGACATATCTTGACCATAACCAATATAAAAAACAAAAGAATACCAAAGGTGAAACAATTTTCGTTATACACAAGGTATTATCATAATTTTCTACTTTCAGTCTTAACGGCACATTCTGTCACCACCAGCACCATCTACAGCCGCTAATCAAAGGCGAGTATGTCAAGTAAGCAGACCCTAAACAGTCCCCGAGGGCCTCCTGAAGTTGTGTTGACGACAGACGACGGGAGAGAGACATGGGGCAAGAAGGTAGACTTCTTGCTGTCCGTGATCGGATTTGCTGTAGATCTGGCGAACGTTTGGAGGTTTCCATATTTGTGCTACAAAAATGGTGGCGGTAAGTAAATGTTAATAATAATAAATCATTGATGTCAATGCTTCTGTGCATTTGTGTGACCTGGTTTAAAAGAAGAAAAGTTGGAAAATATGTGGTCTTAGTTAAGGGTATCTGATTTCTCATTTTGAACATTGTAGGGATCATAAGAGGAAAATGTCCAGGTTTGAGGACCTTTAAAATGGTTTTTTTTTGGACTTAAAAACGTAAATTATTTTAAAACGCGAACATAACTGTATGAAAGTACCCTGTAAATAAAAAAGAACAATTTAACAGAAAAAACTTTCACCTGAAACTTCTCTTTATGTAGGAGAATCCTGTACAGGGTGATTCTTTTATCATGGGAAATGAGTTTTTCTCGTAAACGGCTGCAGCAAATTGAGTTTTGTGAAAAGTATTTTATTTGGGCCGGCTAATGCTTAAAATTGGGATGGATAAGGAAGTTATAAATAAGCGACGCTGGGCGTCGCGACGCTTCAATTTTTTTTTTGTCAGAAGCATACCATTTTTATTTCAGAAATTGAAAGATCTATTCAATAGAAACACTTTTTTCAAATACCATTTTTTTCCATCTAAAACCATTCAAGCACTACATACCAGTTTTTATGTTTTAAATTTGTCGATTGCCATACAAAAAATGCTGGGTTTTTAAATTTCACTAAATCAGGCAGGCTAACTTTTATGCTGATATTGACAACAAATATAATTTAGGATTTAAAGAAAACAATTTACAAGATGTTCCTACATTTAATAACACTTATGTAATTGTTTAGGAAATAATCAAAGTTTACACTAACAACCCATAAAACATACATAAAACATTAAAGAATAACATGAACTGTATTTAGTAAAAATTAATTGCTAATTCACAAATCTTATTTTAACAATTGCTCGATATATGCGCCATCGTTATCCACACATAAATTGTACCGCTTTCTTATTTCGAAAGATGTAACTTTTCTTAAAACATCACCAGATATTCCATTGCACGCATCAATAATTTTTTGTTATAAAATATCTAAATTATTAGATTTTGTTTTATACACTATATTTTTTAAAATTCCCCATAAAAAGAAATCTAAGGGTGTCAAGTCCGGAGATCTAGGCGGAAATTTCAAGGGCCCGTGTGTCCCCAACCATCTTCCGTGGTAGACTTCATTCAAATAATTTTGAACAATGACCGCATTGTGGCAAGGAGCTCCATCTAGTTGAAACCATAAGTTTCTTCTGATTTGCAGTGGCACATGTTCCAGCAAAAGAGGAAGGTGATTTTGGAGAAAATCTAAGTATCTTGGGCCCGTCAAGGCGCCTTCATAAAAGTATGGCCCTACTAAGTGCCGCCCGACTATTCCGCACCAGACGTTTATGCCAAAGTGGCCCTGTATTTGATGTTGTCTGATTTTGCGCGGGTTTTCGTCTGACCAATAATGGGTATTTTTTTTGTTTGGTAATCCATGACTAACAAAATGACTTTCGTCTGTCCATAGTATATGAGAAAATAAATTAGGATTGTCATCCAAAGACACCAAAAACTGACAAATAAAATCCTTCCTCCTCTCAAAATCTCTAAGCGAAAGTTCTTGCAAATTATGAAATTTATAGTCATGGTATTTGTTGCTTTTTAAAACTCTTTGTATCACACTATAATTTAAATTTAAGTCTCTTGAAGCCTCTCTTATAGAAGCTTCATGGTGATTGTTAAAATAATTTAAAATAATTGCCACATTTTCATCCGTCGTGACAGTTTTTGTTCTTGATCTTTTACCTGCAAATTTGGCTCATTGAATTTATGGGGATTTATTAAAAAACACAAAACCTACCTTCAAATGCTTTAGGGTTTTGACGTAAACTAGTTTCTAACCTGGCAAACATTTTGTGGTCTGGAAGGTTGCGTTCGGGGTATTTTTCCGCATATAATCTTCTTGCAGCTAAACCATTTTTTTGGGCTTCTCCGTATAAAAGAAGCATGTCAACTTTATCTGAATGTGTAAACATATTTCTTATTACTCACTATTTTAATAGGAATAATTGAGATTACACTGACAGTTTCAGACATCAATCAATATAAGCCAATTATGTTTTTTCAAAGCCTACCTGATTTAGTGAAATTTAAAATACCATGCATTCTTTGTATGGCAATTTAGAAATTTGGAACATAAAAACTGGTCTGTAATTTTTGAATGGTTTTAGATGGAAAAAAATAGTATTTAAAAAAAGTGTTTTTATTGAATAGATCTTTCAATTTCTGAAATTAAAATGGTATGCTTCTGACAAAAAAAAATTTAAAGCGTCGCGACGCCCAGCGTCGTTTATTTATAACTTCCTTATCCATCCCAATTTCAAGCAATAACCAGCCCAAATAAAATACTTTTTACAGAACCCAATTTGCTGCAGCCATTTACGAGAAAAACTCATTTCCCATGATAAAAGAATCACCCTGTACAGTGTCCACTTATGAATTCCTGAAAAAAATCCACATTACTATTTGCCGGCTCGAAAAAATGAACGCGGGTGGCGTATAATTCATAAGATTGAATTAATTTATAGCCCGAGCTTTGAAGAGGGCTTCCATAATGTCCGGTTGTCAACTGCATTTCGACCTCTATACTGCTATACCGCTCATAAAACGTGCCTTTGAGCTGATTTTCTAATTTCCTGGTGCTTGAGAGGAGTTCCAAGGAAAAATAGATATAAACAAAAATAATAATTTATAATAATAATAATAATAATAATAACGCGACTTTATTAAATTAAAAAGGAAAATATACAATAACGAAAATATATGCGAAAACAACAAATAATTTAAAAAACGATGAAAAGGTGAAGTTCTGTTTAGATTGTTTTTCAACAGTGAAATACATGCAGATATTTATAAAGTACGACATCGCGAAGTTTATTTGCTTGATATCTATAAAACCCTTGATAAAGGTAAATTTCCGAAATTAATCAATACTGCCTCAAAAGAGTTTGGGAACCTCTGTCCTAGACGTTGCAAAGATTTTGTTTTTGATTATATTTACTGCTCTTAGATGCTCTTTTGGACGTTTCTTAAAATTAACTAAATTTCAATTCAGCAATTAATAACTACGTACAATATTATTTGGATATAAATATTGTTTATATATATTTTATTAGTTCTATTTTCTTTTTGAAAAAAACTCATAGTTTTTACTTCCTTTGTACATAGTTAATTTTTTTAAAATGTAATAATATCATATTTTAACTGAAGCACTAACTTTTAACAATAATAATTTTCTATCAAAAATTAATAATAAAAAGTTTTTCACATGGTGCAAACTTTTTGAGACACACTGTACAATAAAATTAAAAATAATTTAGTAGCGAGTTAATCCGTTTTCGAATTTTGAACCTAACTTCCAAAATAAAGTTATTACGTGGATTAAGTGCTCATTTGAGCCGTTCCTTTTTAATTGTCATTTAATTTAAAAACTCATATCCAAAGGATTCAATTAGTAAATTAAAGTACGGACCGCTTTGGGATGGTCATAGGCGTACAACAAAATTTCATAAAAAAAAATAATAAAGATAGCAGAGTAACTTTAAACGTGTTCACTTCAGAATATTAGTTGACATCACTAAATAGTACATATAGAGATTGTATCGTTTATAGTGCAATAATTTTCTATAAATTATTGAACTGTCATATTTTATTCCCAACAAACAGTTAACTGTCGAGAAATTGTTGGCCAGATGCCGTCAGTAACGGGAAACTGACAATGTTGGCTGACCGGTGCCGGACCAAAAGTTACCCATATAATACTGGCTAACACTGGCAAATTGATGTTGGCCCAACGCTGGACGCTGGTTCATCGTAATTGTACAACTATATTGAGCCGCCCTTTAATAATTACTTACTTATATATTTGACATCTTAAGCATTAAACTACTATTTTTACGTTTTAAATCAAATGTTGATAGTTTTGTATTGACTTATGTACGTGACTGTTCTATTGTGTTGAAGCGAGAGAACATTTGTTAGTCAAGGGATTTAAATGTGTGGACATTGAATGTAGTTGTTTTCTTAAGACAGACCCGGCCTGGGAATACTATGTTTAAGTTGAGGAATGTATATTATGAAATTTAAACAGTTATCTATGCTAAAAAGATGAAAACTAACAATGAAAAATATTTAACTGTTACCAAAAATATAAAAAAAGTGAAGTTAGAGGAATAGGATGAAGTTAGTTACTTTTTATTTTGACAGCCTTTTGTTATAGAAAATAATGTAGAAATAGTTTGGTGAAAGGTTTTTATTAACGAATAACTATTTGAATAAACAATACTAAAATTAAAATAGCAACTCAGGTTAGGTGCGCACATTCGCGGTTAATTTTCCAGAAGTACGAAGTACTTTACACTGACATTATTGTCATTGTCATTGACAGACGACAGACAGGTCTTTGTAAAACAAAAGTAACTAACTATAATAGATACGGGTATTTTAACACCTTTAACAAAAAAATCCCTAGAATGATGAATGACATTTTTTCTAGAAAACCATCGTTTACTTACGGACGGTGAAAAATAACTTAAAGTAAACAGAGTTAAAAATGTATAAGGACCGATTCCACCGTTGTGTTAAACGGAGATTGTTAATGTAAAAATGTCATTTAAAACTTCGTTTAACACAACGGTGAAATCGGTCCTAAGAAGCTTAGTTATGGATGGTTTAACGGTAAATCGGTGAAAGTAGTCTTTATTAACAGACAAAAGGAGGAGGTTCTCAATTCGTCGGTATATATTTTTTTATGTATGTTCAGCGATAATTCTTTGACACGGTGTCCGATTTCATTACTTCAGGGGTAGTCACATATAAATTTGGTCAAAATCTAATAATAGGGTAGATGAGAAAATCCTCAGTCATCATTTTTATGTATGTTTTTTGTGTGTGTGTCGTCGGCTTCAACTGCTAATATTATCTCGCCTCGTGTTCTGTGCAGACTTTGTAACTGTTTCCCAGCGCCACTTTAGGAACAGCACTG